CCCCCCCCCCCCCCCCCCCCAGTTTAGGAGGCTGAGGCAGGAGGAGAGTCCAGACAGGGCTGCATAGAGTCCAATCAAAAGAAAAGGTTACGTTGGTTGTGCTTTTCTTCCCTGCACACTTTACGTGTTCATCCCATACTATTGAATCACATATCATAAGCTGTAATAATAATTAAGTTCATCTGTTCTAGGTTACGAGCATTAAGTTATTTTAAGTAATAAGCATAAATTTACTTATGATAGATATTTTGACTTGAATTTTATTTAGTTCAGACTATTATAAAAACCTTGATTTTTAGTTTTTTTTTTTTAAATGAGGTAACTGAATGTGTATGCCATTTAAAAACCAGCTCTGTAAAAATTGACAGACTAGAAAGTATGCTGGCAATATTCTACATGTCACTTTCAAATTTGGAGCAAAAAATGCATGTTGTGATCTTACGGTGTTCAAGTTACTATTTTAACCCTCATTGATCATTGTGAGTAGTAGTATTTTATTCCATCAACTCACGGGATATTTTAGTTTGTACTGAGACTCATAATAGATGATTCTGAAATTTGGCAGGAGCATGGAGATTCTTCTTTTCACCAGAAGTTTTTTCTTGTATGGTAAAGACAGGTATTTAAGTTTGTTCAATATTGTTAAAAGTCAAATTGAGTATGGTGGTACATGCCTTTAATCCCTGCACTGGGAGGCAGAAGCAAGTGGGTCTCTGTAAGACTGAAGCCACTTGGTTTACATAGTGAGGTCCAGGCCAGCTGCGTCTATAGGGAGACCCTGTCTCAAAAAACCACTAGCATGTGTGCACACATACACACAAAAGTCAAGCATATTATTGTAATTGAAAGGAGGGTTTATGAAATCAAAACAAATTACTGTTGGTACTAGTTGAGAAGAACCAGTAAAATTTTAGCTATAACTTTTTTTTTTTAAGTTTCAGTACTGAAGGAATCACCATACTTTCTTTGTTTTTATTCTCTAAGGCAAGAGGAGCAGATGTTCCAGAAATCCCTGGAGATCTTACTCTTAAGACTTGCGGCAGTGCAGCAAGCATGAAGGTTAAACATGTGAAGAAGTAAGTGTGATTATCAAGTGGGTTCTACTGGAATTCCTACAAATGGCTTTCAGTTGTTTATTTCTTGAAATTTTTTATTTAGATTACTTACTGACTAAACTCTTACCGTGCATATAATAGTTTAATCTGTTACACTGTAAATTGTAGTTCAATAACGATGAAACAGGTATACAGGTAGCCTACTTTTCTAAAACATAGTCTTTATTTTTCATCTTTATATTGTTGTCTGTTAAGTTGCATTTGTCTAACAAGATCAAAGCCTCTCTTCTGTACTTTATTTCTTACTCTCATTTATTAAGGAAAATCAGCTTTATTGGCTGAATTATGGAATGGCTAGACCTCAGGTTTGCCTTTGAGAAGCCTAAAATAGATATCCAGAAGTTGATTGCTAAATAAAGAACCTGATGCTTTCCCGTGTGGTTTTAATAGAAAACCAGTTTCTCACTTGGTAGAGAAGGGTTAGCTAGGGACCTATGCTTCATGTGTAAATTAAGGAAAGACAAGGATAAAAATGTCCATTCTGTACCCAGGTCCACCACTCCAGGACTGATGGGCTGTGACAACATCCACAGGTAAAATCTGGTGGTGTGCTTCGTGTTGTGAATTCTGCTTCTGTGTAGAAGCTGACAGTTCACAATTAGATTCTATAACATTTGTCTTAAGTACGGATTTTCTAATGAGCATTGACTTGGGGCAAGACCAGGAGACCGTATGTCTCACTTGTTGTTTAGATCTATACACTAAATGCCCTATTCATTTGGTTTAATGTGTTTCTGATAAGGTTTGTGTGGATGTATGTGGTTCATGTGCATGTGCCTTTAAAATATTTTTGCTTGTATGAACTTTAAATCAGTGGCCTAGTGGCCTTTTGACTAGTACGTTATTTTGTTTCACGCTTACTTTCATGCACTTTAGGTTACCCTTCACGAAGGGACACTTTCCGAAGATGGCTGAATGTGCACATTTTCATTATGAGAACGTTGAATTTGGCAGCATACAGGTATATTTGAAATATTCCCTACATTCTGAATTAAGATAAGTGACAGTTGATATTTTGGTATTTATTGATATTTTGATATATGTTGGTTGATGTAAAATCTTTTATTCTCTGTATTGACTAGTATTCGAAGTCAAGTTGACACATAATTTTAGGGAAATCAATTCTTTCCCCCTCTTTTTATCATGTACTGTGTCCATATGTCCACTGGGTTGTGTGGTAGCTTTATGTTCTGAAATTACGTAACATTGTTAATACTTCTTTGTCTTAATTACTCTTAAGTTTTGAGATTTAGCTGATGACAGTGCTCCCATTTGGTTCTTCATTTTCAAGTGTTTGGCAATCATTGGCCTCTGCATTCTCACTTGTTGGAATTGAACTAAATATTTTGCTCTTTTTTTAAAAATACTTATTTTATGTGTACGAGTGTATTGCCTGCATGTGAGTGAGTCATGCAATGCCGTGGAGGTCAGAAGAGGGCTTCGGATTCCCCTGGAACTGGAGTTAAGGACGGTTTGTAGCTGCCATGTGGGTGCTGGGAATTGAACCTGGGTCCTCTGCAAGAGCAGTCAGTGCTCTTAACCACTGAGCCATCTCTCCAACCCCAATATTTTGCTCTCCTAATGAGTTATTGTCAGCTTAATGTGAAAAACAAAACAATTTTAAAATAGATTGTGCTTATTTTCAAAATAGTATTTTCCCAGGGCAACAAAAGTGATTTTATTTTATATGTTTCTCAAAAGTTTAATAAGAAAAAAATGTATATATATTTTTTTGAGACAGGGACTCCCTATATCCTCAGCTGGCCTGGAACTCACTGTGTAGACCAGGCTGGCCTTGAACTCACAGAGATCCTCCTACCTCTACCTCCTAAGTGCTGGGATTAAAGGCATGCCCACTATGCCTAGCAGAAAAAGGAATCTTAATTTCTGCACAGTACATAAAGAAGTTTTCCACATGCCATCTCACCTCACCTCCCCCGTCAAGAAGTAAACTTCTGAGGCGTGATTGATACTGTGTCTCAGTGTGCTCCTTTTTGTAATCGTATCTTGTGTCTTAAAATCTAGGTACATGAGTTTGAGCTATAGGACCTATGAAGGTGCAGGGTATTCTGTTTCATGTAATTAACAGTTTAAAACACACTTGAGATTTTGGATGCTTGACTATATGACATCCAACAGAGGATATCTTGTTTCCTTTATGCATATCCTTGAGATTTCAGTTATACCGATAATTTTGCTTCAACAAGAGCTATTCAAGTAAACAGTAATGAGGGGCTGGGAAGATGACTTAGTGGTTCAGAGCTCCTGCTGTTCTTCCATGGGACCCAGGTTTGGTTCCCAGCACCCACTTGACAGCTAACAGCACTCTTCAACTCCAGCTCCAGGAGATCTGTCTCCCTCTTCTGGCAGTGCAGGCACCAGGCACACATACACTGTGCTTAACATAAATGCAGGCAGAATACTCAGACACGTAAAGTAAAACTCTTTTAAAAACTTTAAAAAAATAACAATAATGAATATATTTTTCATTTTTGTGACTATTAAATATTTTAGTAATTTAGTTTCCATAACTTTACAATGGAGGTAAGTTATTTCCTTATAGATTTACTTTGTCTGTGGGGTTTGTTGTTTTTGTCTTTAGAAGGTTGAGTGGCCTCTTTGTCAAGTAATAAGCATTGCAAAGAGTTCTGTGGGCATAAGAAAAAGAGGCAAGACACTAGAGACCTAAAACAAAAATGAACAAAGTGTTTAAAATGTTGGCATTATGTAAAAGGCCAAGAATCTTTAAGGACTTTCATTTAAAATAAAACAAAGTTGTTATTGGTCAGTGTGATACAATGGAATTGCAAGCTTCAGTTAGCAAATAAGATTCTAATTTCCATTTTATTTAGAAAGTTTGTAATCTTCAGCAAGCAGATCAGTCTCTTTGTTTCATTTTCTTCATCTATGAGGCGAATAAGGTTGTAAGATATAATACTAAATTTTTATTTTCATGATATGATTAAAGAGTGTGTAGTATGTATATTGAAGAGATACAGATTGGTAATAGATAGTCCTGAGCTGGCTTTTACATTTCTGAGATTGTGTCAGAGGCTTGTTATTAGGATTCAGTCCTCTCAGTTGGAGGACTATGCTTAATCCATACACAGGAACACATCAGATAGACTTTGTACCAGTGAACACAGCCACAGTCTTCGTGTAGAAGAGTTGAACAGTTTCCACTTTTCCCATTCCACTCACTTCTGCTCTTAAGGCCTTGCTACTTCTTAAACAGAAGAGAAAAATACAGATACAGTATCAACTTCGTTTGTGACCTTTGACATGTGAAACATATGAGTAAGATTTTCTTGTCTGTACAGATGAATCAGGAAGCTTCAGAAGTCTGGAAATAGGGGTTATTCACAGAAAACCAGTCCCATTGCACCTTGTCAGTTCACTCCAGAATCTTTTTTATGTGTTGGTTATTGGACACATTTCTCTTGAGAAATTCACTTCTAATTTTGCCCTGCCTTCTGTTTTCTGTCTTTTGAAATGGGTGTCTGTATACCACCTCTCTCGGTTCATATGTTGATTGGGATCAACATATGTTACCTTCAGGAGGGAAACACTAGTTTCTGTTAACTGAGTTGTGTAGTTAAAAAACAAAAAAAAACAACAACAAAAAAAAAACAAACAAAAAAACCCTGAGGTATCCATCTGGCTTAAATATCTGTTGGTGATTTTTGGCTTGGGGTGCTATTCTTGCTTTAGCTAGTATATGTTTTTACATTTTATGGTCTTAGAGGCCATTTAAAGGAAAACTAACCACAGCAATGTTGACTACCAAACATGCTCTGTTTCATGCAAGCAATTAAAATAAGGTCTGTGTGTCTCAGTTAATGTTCTTCATTATTTTATAAGTGTACTACTTTATACAATAAACTGTAGTACAGTAGATCCTAGATATGTTTATGGAAAGTAAATCCCATATCTCTATCTTAATTTCGGTATGAAGTTGAAAATATGTTCTAAGGAGCAAACTAGATTGAATGAGGGAGCTATCTGGAGAGCTCAGTTGGTAAAGTGCTTGCATCACAGGCATGAAGACCTGACTTTAATCTCCAGAATCTACATAAAAAATGCCAGGCACAGTGGCCTGTTCTGAGGAGGTGAAAACAGGAGGATTCCTGGAGTCTGCTGGCCAGCCAGTCTAGCTAGCCTTCTTGATGAGCCCTAGGAAAATGAAAGACCTTGTTTCAAAGGAGTATATAGAGTATGTGTATAGAAGAGGCCTCTCTAATCACAAGTTATTCATACTGTCAATGGCCACCGTAGATGTTGCCTTTTAATATGTTCCAACTCTGGACTATTTAATCATTTACCCTAGCCTGTTTAAACTTTGAACTTGGGAGTTTCTCTTAGACTCGTAGGTTTCTTTGCATTTATGGTCTCCCCAGCTCTTAAAAATTAATTATAATAATGCCCTAGTAGGATGGAAAATATCAATGTTTATTATATTTTTTTAAATATAGAGAAGATATTTAAGGGATTTCAGTTATAAAATGGAAACTATTCTTAATTATACATGTTGGAAATTCCAATTACCAATTTTATTTAGGCTGAAAGATATAATAAGAAATTTAGATATAATTGCTCTGAGTCAATCCTATCCTTACTGGGGCATGTACATAGGACATGTTCATGATCTTTTCTATGAGTTCCTGCTTGTTTATCTGGCTCACTCCCCTGCATTTTGCTTGGACAGCTAATAAACACCTCAAGCTGGAACTATCTCTTCTCTAGTCTGTGCTTCCTGCTGCTGCCACCTGTTCTTTCAGAACCTGAGGCCAACCAGGGACCTTGGAGATATCTTGAACTTCTTTCTTTCAGGTTTTGTATTTAGTCCATCAGAAAATGTCTTAGATCAGCCTTTAAAATAAATTCAAGGTCTGATTATGCCTACCCACCACCTTCCCTGTTGTTACTTTAGGTCAAGCCATTGTCATTTGGAGAAGTTTTTGGTAGCCTTCTGTAGTTGGCACAGCAGCAAAAGCAGTTGTTTTCAAATGTAAATCAAACCATGTCAACTTTTCAGAATCCTTCAGTTATGTCTTAGTATACTCAGCTTGAAAACCAGATCCTTAAAATTCCCAATCAGAATTTGTAAGATTGGCCTGTCTGACCTCACTTCTTTGACTTCTTGGCAGTATCAGCCATGGTGGCCTGCTTGCAGCTCCTTCCATGTGCGTGCTCTCTCCTCAGGGCCTATGTACTTGTTTCTTCTCCTGGAAAGCATCCCTGGATATCTACTTACCTTGTTCCCTCCTTCCCTAAAATATTTGCTCCAGTGCTTTCTTCTCAGAGTATACATTCTCTGTATAACTGTACCTCTGCACCAATATTCATCTCTTTCCCAGTATTTTATTATCACTTACTTTGTGCTCTTCTACATCTAGAGCAGCACCTAACACATAAAAGTCACTCAGTTTTTTGAATGAATGAATTTTTGTTTAAAGAGCAGTAATTGGGGGATGTAGTGTAATGGTAGAACACTAGCCCAACATACTTGAGGCCCTGGGATATATCTCTATGGCATTGAGACACAATTGGCTTTAAAAATAGGAATAGCCAGGACTGGAGAGATGGCTCAGCAGTTAAGAGCACTGGCTGCTTTTGCAGAGGACCCGGGTTTGATTTCTAGCACCCACATGGCAGCTAACAACCGTCTGTAACTCCAGTTCTAGGGGATCCAATACCCTCTTCTGACCTCCACTGGCATTGCCTGACACAGGTGCATTTATATACATGCAGGCAATACACTCATACACATAAAATAAAAATAATAAATATTAAAAAATAGGAATAATATGTATTTGTTATTGTGGTTTGGATTTGAAATGTCCCTCAAAACCTTAGGTGATGTAGGCTCCATTTGCAGCTTGTGGCACGACTGGAGGAGATGGAATTTTTAGGAGATGGGACCTAGCTGGAGGAAGTAGGTCACTGGGGGCTTGCCCTTGA